CGCACATGGGCGATGCTGGAGCCGCGATCCTTAAAGCTAGCTCGCTCACGACGGGCGGCTTCCAGGGCGCGCTGGTTGCCTCCTTTGAATTCAATCACAACGTCCACGTCCTCATTGGATTCCAAGTGGCGGTGGACACTGGGGGCGATTTTGGCCGTGGCGAGAGCAGCAAATGCAGCGATGAAAGTAGGCTTGATCATGATGCAGTTGCTGGCAAATTGAAATGTGAGAAGGTTGATCGTGGCCCGATAAGGAAGCAAAAATAGATATTATGAATTGTCAGACAGTCTGTTATTGTGAATTCGGATGACATTTCTCGCATGTGATCATCTGATTTCGGGCTGGGATGATTCGCTCCACGTAGCCAAAGCCTGGCCAACAGCCCCCTGCTCCGTACTTGCATTACGTAGGCCTTGAATATGTTGAGCTCAATGTGTGAGCAAAAGGTTCGCCGATGATAACAACACATCACCCACTGGGATCAGGTCTGGGGGGACGAAGCAATCCATGATGCCTGAGTTGGGTAGGGGACAGATGGAGTACATGCGGTGATGACATACGAAGCTGGAGTCTACTGTATCATTGTCGAAGGTGGGATTGGTTGCATGTAGAATCAAATGTTCGTGCACACAAGGATTTGGGAATCAAATCGGGGAGAGACAATGTGTATCAGACCGAACATTCACCTAGACTTATCAAATGCGCACGAGAATGTAAAAGAGCGTTTGGAAGGCGCAAAATGGTGTGTGTGTGCCTACTTTGCCCCTCGCAGTTATACCAGGAATGCAGAATTAATAAAAAACATCGAAATTGACACTCCAATCTACTACTGTTAGAACCCTTCTACACATGTACTGATCGTAAGGTTTTGTATCGAATCAAAGTACTTGTAATCGTAAGCGTCCAGAAACAAAGCCAATCGATCACCGTACGTACACTGTAGAACCGTCATACCGGTAAGCAGTCAAGCACTCATTGTAGTACGGATCTACAAAGCCTTTGAAAGACTCATCACTGCAGATAAGTTTCAAGAGTTTTTTGTGGATAAGGTACTTCGCTTGTCGGAATGGAACGAAGGACTCGTTGCTGGCCGTACAATTCCCTCATTAAAACAGTTCCACTGTTTTTTGACCCGATACTGTTTCAATAAAATTTATATGATTTCAATACAAACCACAAGTCAGATAGACTTGAAATTTGGAGCTAATCTGTTTCATACTACTACTGTACCTCTGTCCGAAAGTGAATCCACGAATGAACAATTTCAGATGTGAAATTAGGGTATCTCCTCCAAACCTCCCACACATTGGGAGTACTTTTGAATATAAAATTTCAAATACAACCCAATTAGAGCCCCCAAAGGTCTTAAATAGGAATGACAGCTGATTTATCCACGAAAAACAGTGGGAATGATGATCATTTTTGACTGTGCTCACGTATAATTTTTGTAAATTTATATTTGTAATAGACCATTTATACAGGTATCGAATTTATTTGTAGTAAAGTGTAGATGCAGTAAACTGTATAATATAATAAATTATACCGTAAACTTACACTCGTGCAATCACTTTCGGACAGAGGTAGTAATATGAAGTACTTCCCAAAATTTCATCAAAATTGGAGTAGTTACGAAAATTCGGGAGCCTTTTCGCCCAAACGTGCTCACCGGGAGTCCAGGGTACGGATACTGGAGAAAAGGTGTATCCGGATGTAATAATTCCCTCATTGAAACAGTATTTCGGGTCAAAACAATGGTGGACTGTTTTAATGAGGGAATTTATCCTTGCTGGCCTGCAATCTCCGTCAAATGGATCAGGTTCTTGATGAGAAATCAGCCGAGAGCCTGTTGATTCTATTACATCTGAGTACAATAAGTGCCAAGCTTAACGCTATAAATCCAGCTTGTTTCCTGCATGCTGCCAACAGCATGCAGGAGTCCACCGGAACGGTAGAATAAAATATCTATTTTTCTTGGTGGTTCACGAAACAAATACGAAACGTTACAGTATCTAGTATATACTACTACTGCTACTAACCAAAGTGGTGGTGTGTTTGCACAAGAAAATGCAACATGAGTAGAATGTAACGGTAGCGAGCTTCACAGAGTAAATTGGAAAGTGATTAGATTGTCGTCTTAAACTACTAACTACGAAAATGTATACTATACTAAACTACATGAAGTAAATGTTCTTTCTCTACGGCTTCTTTAACGGCCTTGCCTGCTAATGGTGCGACAATCTTTAGCTTGTTCGACAGTCTTGCCATCGTTCTCTTAACGATGCGACAAGCTGTATTCTTGGTCGGCAACCTTGCCATCATTACATTCTCCCCCGGTTGTCGACTTGGCAGCTTGGATTCTTGTACGCAGGTCTTCAAGCAATCGTTTGAAATGGGAGACATGCTTGATGCTGCGCTCAAGCTCCCAAGTTGCTTCGTGCTCGGGCAAACCATGCCATTTGACCAAGTACTCTTTCTTGCGATTGAACTGCCGTTGCTTCAACAGCGCTTCAACGATGTGCAGTTCATTCCCCGCATCATCGAGAACGATAGGAGTTGCT